GTGTGTGTGTGTGTGTGTGTGTGTGTGTGTGTGTGTGTGTGTGTGTGTGTGTGTGTGTGTGTGTGTGTGTGTGTGTGTGTGTGCAGGGCAGGATCGCAGTGAGGCGGCTCTCATAAGGCGCTTTAAGGGCGATGGCGTACGCTACAAGGCCAAACTCATCGGACTGGACGAGGTCACTGCTGCCCGCGGAGACAAACTCTGCCAGGACTCCATGATGAAGCTGAAGGTAAGAAGAGGTCGCCCTGTTGAAACACCGTAAACATGAAAAGACGTGCACTTAAAGACTTGCACTTAAAGACGTGCACTTAAAGCTCTCTTCATCCCTGCATACAGTCGTATCAGAAAATCAAAGCCCTCAGATGAAACGCTGCAGCTGCTTAAAGTTCCTGCGTTTATAAAACCAACAAACGTGAAAAAGCAGGTCCAGGAACAGTTCATACATATATCATGCTCAACATTTAAATATGCATGGTGAATAAATCACAGCTTCTTTTACAGTTTTTATGCAAATTGCTTGAGGAGAAAAGTTCAAGTACAAAGATAAAAAATGAGCATGCCTTAATTTCCAGGGATTATGATGATAAGTGCAGAAGGAAGTGAAGAGGTTTGCCATATGGATGAGAAGGGACTGGAGTAAATGTCTCATTTGGCAGGATAGGAGCAGTGGGGGGTGGGGGGTGGGGTAACAGATGGGACATTTAGCATAGAAATGAAATGATATAGGAGAGGAATAAATTTAGGTGAGAGGATAAGGATGAGGAGAAATGATGTGTTTTAAACGATTTTCTAAAGAAGCGTTTAATGAATGAAGTGAGACCTGCAGCAGACTCACCTGTTCAACAGTGAAGCTTTATTTATTCTCCTGCTCTGAAAMATAAGAGCGCCTCGTTCATTATTAATTATCTTTAACTCACATTGCCGGGGAAAATGAAATGGAGGAGATTGTARTTAGGTTTTGTTTACGAGGAAGCTGGTGTGAGCAGAGAGCTGTAACGGTGAGAGGAGGACACARAGAGCTCATAGATCAAACTGCCTCCATCCTTCTCATTCATTCAGACAGGACATCCATCACCTCCTTTTCTCTCATCTCCGCACTTCTTTCACTCTGCTTCTGTCTTTTCATGCTCCTCCTGTCTTTTCTTCTGTTTATCAGGAACACATGCTAATAATCAATGCCCAACACCATCATCAGTGTGCTGTTAAATGTGTAATCTGTTGGGGGATGAAGAACATTTTCTACATTTCAGTTGGACTGACAGCTCTACTACATCAGTCTGATCATACAGACTTAAAATCATTCTTTATTCTTATTATTTACTTTTATTTACCAGACGAATCCACTCAGATCACAGATCATACATTAGAGGCCTGAAGCAACCCAACGTTCATGTTTCTGATCAGTTTTTACAATGATAGGATTTAATAAAATGTTCTTTAAAGCTGAGTGTTTAGTAGGTGGCAGCTGAGCAGCATAACTTCAATTCATATCCTAATATTCCGGTAATAAATACTCCTAACGTGCAGCTAGGCTGGTTGAGTCTAATTTAAAGAGCCTATATTTTGTGTTTCTCAGGCATATATTTAAATACTATACCATAAGAAAGTATCTATGTCACATTTAGTTGTTATTAAAATGCTGTTTTTATGTTTAAATAGAAAATTAACTCATCTTCTCATCACTTCCTCTTCTAAATGGCTTGAAATTGGCCTCTGTCTCTTTAAGAAGAACCACCTTCTGCTTCTGTCCCGCCCATTTCAGCGGGGGGGGGGGG